GCGGCCTTAGCAACCACATCCGGGGCTCCGCCCGTGCGGTTGCCCGGGTAATTTTCTGGCTTCGGTGGGATCACAGAGGGGCGTGTACGCGGGTTCCGAGGCACCTGCCAGAGCTGGGAGCTTGCGCGGGCCTGAGCTTGACGGGTCGGAGGTCTCCAGGAGCCCTCAGCATCCCTCCTTTCTCATTCACACACCCCAGCCTCGCGCGTTAGGCGTCCCCCCAACAGACGGTGAGCCGGCGGCGGGAGGGTGGAGGCGGACGTAGCTCACCGCCCCGTAAATCCCCGGAGAGCCCAAGCTCCTTTCTCCGCTGCGGGGAGCACGGAGGTTGCTCCAGTCCCGCGGGGGTGGGAGGTGGAGGGAATGCGGGGTCCGGGAGCAGATGCGCTGCGGGCGCCTCGCCGCCGCTTCCTGGGCGCCTGGAGCCCCCTCCCGGCCACGTCCTCACGCCCACCCTCTCGGGGAGACCCGACCACCACGGCCGCGGGCATCCCCGAGTTCTCGTCACTGCTCTGTCTGCGATCACTTTCTGCTCTGCTCGCTCGCTGACAGTGGATCCCCGTACTTTTCTTTCCTGCTCCTATTGATCCATAGAACCGATTTTTTTTTTCCTTCTTTGCTTGCCCCGTTACTTCTTAAGTGGATCACTGCCCTGTCCACAGACACCGCTGGACAGTCCCTTTTTCTCAGAGCCCTTTGTAGTTTCCTAAATTGAGGCCCCCAAACTGTACTCCGGACACTCCCCCTCGCCCCGCACCGAATGGAGGAAGAGTATGAATGGAGGGAGAGTACGGCTCCTCAGTGGTGCGAGACACCCCTGACGCTCCTGTACATGCTGTGTACACAGTTGACGCCTCCACACGTGCCTCCCTTCAAGGTTCTGGACTGCTTTTCCTCGGACAGCGTGGCTGCTCATTTCTACCGCCATTTCCTTTAGAAATGCGAAGGGATACAAACAGTGCACTCCATATATATCTATATATCTATATCTATCTATCTATCATCTATCTATCCATATATATAACATAGTGCCCCAAGGCAGACTCTGCCTCTATAAATTTCTAGGGAGTTTCAGGGAACAGTATATCCCTGTGTACAGATGTCTTCTCCATATCCGTGAATAGTAAATACTCATGACACCACAAATGTTTCAAAAATAAAATAACAATATCTATTTTCTAAGATCTCCAGGACATCTCCTCTAACAGAAATAGCACTGAAATCCCAAAACATAAATGGAATATCAATAGCCCTTATCTTAAATGGTTCTGTTCTTTAAAAAAGAGCAAATATAAATGCCAATTCACCCAAACTGTCACAAGTTCTGGAGCTTACTATGGCCTTTCAGTTCAGAGCCATCCTATTAGTCTTCTCAATTATAAGAAAAGGATCCCAATTAGACTAATTACTGCTCTTCTTGTATAGGAACCGAATGGACTGTAGTGGCTAAGGACAAGGGTTCTTGGAGTTCCCAAAGGTGACCAGGAGGAGCTGCCGGCCGCGGTGCTGGTGGTGCTGGAGTGATGTGCACGTAACTGTTTGGGCTGACTGGTGTCTTAAGGACTCCTGCGAGCTGTCTTGAGTTTGGGGACACGTAGCTTCATTGCAGTCAGTCTCACTATTAGTTTGTTACACTCAGGTTTGTGGACACTTGCTTTAGTTATGTGTCCTTTGATGGATGATGTCCTCGGAAGGTGCTGATGGCCTTGATAGAGATTCTGATGGACTTGGAACTAATGCTAACTTGTGCTTGGTGGAGGTGCTGTGGATCATGTTAGGTACTTTTCAGTCTAGCGTGATCCTGGCACTGTGCATGATTAGTCCTCATATGCAGTGTGCAGAGCTATATACAGGGTTAATCTTCCCCATGATTTCTGCTGCCCCGAGGGAAATCAGAGTGCAGGTTGGCTTGAAGAAAACACTGGAAGCTACTTCAGCTGGTGGTGGAAAACAGTGAAAGTCTATGCAATTTCTTTGGGAAAAGGAACCAGTAACAGGTATTCTTCAGATTTGGGGAAAATTTTTCATACTAACTGAAAGACCTTATTTTAAACCTAACTCTGCTTAGATGGAGACATTTTTTCTTCCCTCTTTCTTCTCTCCCTCCTTCCTTCCTTCTTTCCTTTCTTTATTACCTCCCTTCCTCCCAACCTTTGTTCTCCCCCCGCCCTCTCTGTATCTATCTTTCTCGGTCTCCCTCCATCCCTTCCGCCCTCCTCCCTCCTCTCCCCCACCCTCCCACTTCCTCCTCTTCCTCCTCCCTCTCCCTCTGCCCCCTAGAGTTTAGGGAATTCTACTTAACCATTTTTAGGAGGAATAGATGATAACTACTTTTCTCTCAGTTGGCAATTATGTATGGAGAGGTAAGAAAGGAATAGCTGCCTGCCGTATATGTTTATGACAAGGGGATTTTCTACGTATTTATCTTTGCACTGTTATTGTCTATTATTCAGCTTTCAAAAAATCAGGTACCATGTATTCATTTGGCTTATGAGGAACTCTGGCAGCCTATCTCATTTATTGGCCAGAAGGAAAGGAGGCAACGAGTTAAAGGATATTGTTATTGTTCCTTTCTGAATGAAGTAAAAGTGAACATGACCTTTTCTCTTTGCTTTAGATGTTGAATATTGTATACTGTGTATCAATATTATTTCCTCAATGAAAGAGGAAGGTGATACCTTTAGATTTTTTTTGTGGGGAACTCCAGTAATGTTGTAATATTTTCATCACTCTTTATTAGCATTCCCCTTTTCATGCAGAAATAATTAGTTACTGATTGCACAGTATAATTCTCTGGGAACAATTTCTTTATTAAGGGATATTGATTAATGGAACACTTAAAGAAGCCCACGAGTGGTAGAATGAGTAGAACATAAGAGTAGACATTGTTTTAACTACAAAGAGAAAAAAACCTGAACTTAATCATAATTCCGTTACCTAGAGTCAACATTCAACATTTTGGTTAATGTCTTTTTTTCTATGCACATATATTTATTCTTCATTAACAAATCATTATTGAGAACCTTCTGTTTACTAAGCACTACAGGAATAGCCATGACCCTCTGGCCTCCTGCAATTTTAAGTATATGTTGTATTTCTTGGCATAGTTTTGCATTTTGCTTTTTTCACTTATTATAGTATGGAATTTTCCTCTCATCATTAAATATTCTCCTTTAGTGGCTCAGTAGTATTTAGCATAGATTTTCCTTAATTTATATCTAATCCTTTTGGTTGCACATTTAGATTATTTTAAGTCTTGTCTATAATTATAAAACAACTAGAGGCCCATTGCAGGAAGATTCCTGCAAGAATAGGGCTTCCTGCAGCTGCCCTGCTCCCTCCTGTGTCCGCTGCCTCGGCTCCGCTCCGTCTCTGCTGCCTGGGCTCCCTCCCTTCTCTAACAATTCACTCCCTTCTGCAGCGCTTGGCTTCCTTCTACGCTGTCTTCAGCCTTTGCTCCACGCCTGTGTATGCAAATTAACCACCATATTTGTTGGGTTAATTTGCATACTCGCTCTGATTGGCTGGTGGGCATTGCGGAGGGATGGTCAATTTGCATGTTTCTCTTTTATTAGTGTAGATGTGAGGAATATTATAGTGTGGTAGAATTCTAAGATGATTTCCAATTATCCTCACTTTGTATAATTCTCTTCCCTGTGAACGTGATAGAATATCATTCACATGATGGTTATATACAAAAAAAGACTTTGCAGATGTAATTAAGGTTACTAATCAGTTGACTTTGAGTTAATCAAAAGGGAGATAATCTGGGTGGACCTGAACTGATCACTTAGGCCTTCTAAGAGTAGAGAGTTTTCTCCTGTTGGTGGCAGCAGAGGAAGTCAGAGGAATTGGAAGCATGAGAGAGAATTGACTTGAGGAAGGCCATAGGCAAGCACCTGACATAGGCCTCCAGGAACTGAGAGCAGTCTCTGCTGACAGCCAACAAAAAACCAAGGACCTCAGTCCTACATCCACAAGGAGTTGAATTCTGCAAATAACCTGAATGAGGTTGGAAGCCAGTTTTCCCCCAGAGTCTCCAGATAAGAGTCCCACATGACTAGCAACTTGTTTTCTGCCTTGTGAGATAATAAATAGCTGTTGTTTTAAGCCACTAAAAGTGTGGTGATTTTATGCAGCAATAGAAAATGAATACATGTGTAAGCTAGATTATTTTTACATCTATAATTATTTGGGGGGGATAAATTGCAGATATAGACTTGCTGAGTAAAAGTTATGGACATTTTTAAGATTTTTGTATCATATAAGTAATTTGCCCTCCAAGAGTTTTAACCAATTTATGTGCCTCCTAATAACCTATGTTTTTGCATTCTGGCAAACACTAGATATGGCCATTCTGACAGGCAGAAACCAAAACCAAAAAGGTATCCCCTATTTTGAAAGAAGTTTTACATTTCTATTATGACCAGTAGAATTGACCACTGTTTTCTTTATTTTGGGTTCAGTTGGCAAGTCTTTTTTAGTGAATGCCTATTTTTATTCTTTAGTTAGCTTTATTATTAACATAGATAAAATAGTTCCTAACATGTAGTACAGCATTTTTCTGCTGTAATATTTTTAAGGGTAGAATGATTAATGAGCTTAATTG